TGGTAGAGGTGAGGAAGGACCCTCCACCGGAGCCTTTGGAGGGAGTATGAACTGTCGACACCTTCGTTTTGAACTTCCAGCCTCCGGAAGTGTAAGAGAAAACATTTAAGCCACTCAACTGGCGGTGATTTCCTAGAGCAGCCTAGGAAACTAATGCAACACCACATCTTTTGGGGACCTTCTCCCACTGTCTGGATCGTGATGAAACTCCAGTCTCTGTAGTTGGGAAGGCCAGCCTCCCCAGAGGCCTCGCTGCCCTGAACGTTCATGAATGAAGGTAACTAGGTCTTTTTAGTTCTTGCTATGAAGTGTGTGCAGATGGAAGAAAGAGAAAAGTGGCAAAGAACACAAGAAATGTGGTGTTCAGATCAGCCAATGGCAACCATTTGTCCTTCTTCTTTCTCTACCCATCCCCAAAGGTCGCAAAACTTTCAAAACAACAGAAATCTGATGACAACAATACAGCCGAGAGACAGGAGGACAGAAATAACTCGGAGCACAGCTCGTTGGTGAAGTTTAAAATAAAAAGCTGCTTGATAAATGCACCTGGGGAATATGAGAAAAAGATAAAAGAGCAAAGGATGCCTGGGAAAGTGGCGGGGCGGAGAGCCAAGGGGAATGAGGATGACCGCGTCTGCGCGAATTTGCAGCATGACACCTTTGAGGGAAAGGACGCTTCTGCTCCACCGTTTGTGTTCTAAAAAGAGCTCCAGCAAACTAGCACAGAGTCATGAACCATTCCGTGCCAGGACCTGAAGTCCCATGCAAGATACCATTGACGGACTCTGGCTCATTTGGGTGAGAGACAACGTGAGGAAGAAGGTCCAAGACACAGTAATCAGGGCCAGCCCCGTAATCCTGTGGTTAAGGGAGCTAGATCCCATGTGGCCAACCGTGATCCCAATCCTTACCCCAGTGGCTTGAAGAACATGCCAAGCATGTGTGTGTGCATGCGTATCCCAAATCCCGAGAAGATGGAGAAATGGAGAAGGGATTGGGACATGACCATGTCCCCTTCTGAGGTACTTTCTCTGTCCCCCTCTCTCCCTCCCTCCTCCAACGAGCACACACACCCTCTGGCAATTAAAAACAAAGAGACAGTAATCAAAGTGACATGGTGACTTATGAGAAAAAGACTCTGTGAGTGGCTGGACGATGGACTGTGTGTTTCCAAAATGGTGGCACCGATGGATGTGGGTACCCCGAGTGGCACCAACAGCGGTGTGTGTAAGAAGCACCTTGAAGTGAAAAAGTGGAATGCAGTAGCCCTCTGGGCCTGGGGTGTTGTGGTTGACAACTGTGCCATCTGCCGGAACCACATTAAGGATCATAGAATGTCAAGCTAACCAGGCACCTGCCACTTCCGAAGGTTGTACTGTGGCATGGGGACTCTGTAACCACGCGTGTCACTCCCACTGCAGCTCTCGCTGGCTCAAAAACATGGCAAGTGTGTCCACTAGACAACAGAGAGTGGGAATTGCAAAAGTATGCGCACTAGAAAACAAATTCTTCCATCAGGCTTCACTGTTTTGTTATTCATTTAATGACTTGCCCTCCTGCTACTTCATTACAAATGAGATAGAACTGTGTCTTTTCTGCTTTGCCTTTTGTAGTTCTCTGTTCCTGCAGTCACGTGGTATTCTGTGTCCAAGTCCAGTTGGATTCTTGAACAACAACAACTACGACGACGAAAAGATTCTGTTTGGAAAAACAATGTTCTCATCAGGTGCTCTGGGTCATGGTAACTAATTAAGAGGACAGACAAGTACATTAAGGCCGCGCAGAAGCATCGCAAATGCTACGATTCAATTCATTTACTAAAGAGGCTTTAAAGGCGCAAAAATGCTCCTAACTTACGGTTCCCAGGGCAGCTGTAACAAGGCTCCTTTCATAAGCTTGGTCTAATTTTGGTGCCGAGTAGCCTCAATCCAAATGCTCCCTCCGGGCTTCAGCCTCTTTGGACGGATCAGGCTAACACCTCACATGTGCGTGTGTGGATACTGGCACCAGAAACGGTGTACGGTTTCCCCGAAGTATGATCAATAACGCTTCTTAAAATAGTCCCAATTTCTCCCAGTTCTTTCTTATTTCAATTCACAGGGTGGTCTCTGGGAACTAGGACTGCTGGTTTTTTCTCAAGTGGACAAATCAATATGGAACCTAGAAGTGCTCACAGGTTCATGTGGGGCCAGCCTTTAATAGCCTTCGTGTTAGGTGTCTGCCACGTCAAGGTGACTTGGGTCCCCTCCTTCTCTACACTTTTTCTTTTAGTTTATGTATTTTTTTTTCCATGAGTAAGAGAGACAGAGAGACAGAGGGAGAGAAACAGCACCCGCAACAGGGTCTGCATGCTGCAATCCACCCTGAGCTTCAGCCAGCCTGGATCACAGGCAGATGTGCCCGGCACGTTCAGGAAGGTCTCCAGATGTGAGCCTGGAACCTCCTCACGGGGCTGCTCACAGCATGCTGCACTACTGCTGTGCCGCTGTCCTGCCCCTCTAAACTTTCTTGAGCCTAAACAATAAATCCTTTGCACAGAGAGGCAGAGTTCCCCACACAGAATATATATATATATTTTTTTTTTTTTGAGAGGTTTTTGCCATAGGGTGCATGCGCTCGCCAGAAAGACAGAGACAGAGAGACAGAAAGCGAGAAATCACCCCCCGGGGGGGATGGCCACACCACAATCCCTTCTCCATTCTCCTCTCGGGATCTTGGGCATGCACGCACACGCGCATGGTATGAGTTTAAGCCACCGAGTCTAGGACTCGACTACATGGGAGTTCAGTAACATAGCCATTACGCTAACTGCTGGTCTCTCCCACACAGAGTATTATAGCTTCTTGTTCTTCTCTGAGAAGCTGCTAGCTCGGCCTTGAGGGGAGAGAATGAAATACTGAGACAGATGGGACAGCCCCACTGGGTGTCAAAAGACGAGGCCAGCAGCCTTGCGCTCTAGAGGCCAGAGGGTTCCTTCTCTTGTTCCCTGAACAAGTGTCCAGAGGTAGCTCAGGGCCTGTGTCTCCTAGCTCATTCCTGGCAAACCTCTCTGGGTAAAACAGTGGGATGGCGGCAGCCCAAAACTGCTGAAGGATTATGATAGATTGCATCTACTGTCAGAAAACAAAACAAAACAAAACAAAGGAGCAAGTTGTTACACTTTCCTCTAGGTTGTGTTTTGTTTGATTTTCTCTTCTGACTGGATTGGTTGTAAATACCTCTCAAGGCAACATCCGGGAGCTAGGCAAGGCCTCCTGGCGGAGCTCCAAGATCCCACCAGGCAGTTGACCAGAAGGCTCCAGAAGGAGCTCTCCAGGCATGGGTGAGACAGACCTGGGCCAGGAGACAGGGAGGGGTTGGCGTCCAGAGCTCTTCCCAAGGTCATGGTATAATTAGGTCTGAGGCCCCTGCATGAGTCCGCCATTCTGTTTTTCAACAATGAGGAGGAAAAATGGCTGTCTCACCTCCGCCTCAGTGGATCGGCTTTCAAATACAGGTTGAGTTTCCCTTCTTTGAAATGCTTGGGCCTACAAGTGTCTCAGAATTTAGATTTTTCCAGATTCTGGAGTACTTGCATATACAAAATGAGATAACTTGGGGATAGGCCCCGAGTCCAAACATGAAATTCATTTATGTTTCCTATTTATGTTTCATCCTACGAGTGTACCTGACACACAGTACGAAGGTCATTTCATACAGCATCACCGTATGGCAGCACTTTGTAACCCCTCATGTGAGGTCAGGTGTGGAATTTTCCATTTGTGACATCTGCGTTCAAGATTTATGAATTTGGAGCATCTCAGATTTTGGATGTTCAGGTTGCGTTCAAGATTTATGAATTTTGGAGCATCTCAGATTTTGGATGTTCAGGTTAGGGATGTTCAACCTGCCTGTTCTTGTAAGTTGACTGTGGGCTATCTGTGATCACAGTCACTGTTAGGTAGCCACCTTTTCTCTTTCCTCCTTATTATAATACTTGATTATAGAAAATATAATAAGAAAACTGAGAGGAAAGACAGCAGGGAGGGGGACAAATGCAGTGAGTGTGTGATCGGGGATCGGGCCTGTTGTGTGGCTAGTGACCTGGGTCTACTAGGGACATCTGGACCTCGCCTTTCTCATCTACACAGTGGGAGTGGTATCTGTCCCCACTGGGTCGCAGTGAAGACTCAATGACAGAG